TCACAATACTGAGATATCATTTTTCCCTTTCCCACTATGTTAATGTTTTACACTGATGGTGCAAAAGCAATGGCAGGTAAAACTGCTAGCACCTTTAGAAAGAAAAAAGGTAGTGCCTTCAAGCATCACTAAATATTTCCAGATTTATTTTTAAATGCCACTTAAGAGTATCTTTAATGAAGCAATAAGAAATAATACATGTTACAAAATCATAACCAGGTAAAAGATGTATCCTAAGTACAAGATAAACCAATGAATTTTAAGGTAACAAGAAATGAAAAATTCATTAATATGGTTCCAGATTCAGTATTGTCACTAACCTTTTAAAAAACTACTACTTGTCAAAATTTGGTGTATCAAATACGTCAAATTTTTGTATCGAAGAGTATGTAAAATTATCTAAAAAAGCTATGAAAATACTCCTCGCTACCCCCACCACATATCTATATAAGGCTGGATTTTCTTCATACAACTTCAACCAAAGTAAGATATTGCAACAGATGGCATAAAGAAGCAGATATATTAATTGAGCTGTTTTCTATTAAGACAAACAAAAGAGATTTGCAAAAATATAAAAACACTGCCACTCTTTTTGCTAAATATTTGTTTTAGAAAAGTTATATTTTTATTAAAAAATGTTACATTAACATACAATAGTTGTGTTTATAAATTTTTTAGTTTAATTTCTAATAGGGAAAATGTAATAAATAACACATATAAACCAAAGCTCTTTGGGGTTCTCAATAATTTGTAAGAGTATAAAGGGTGTGTAAAATCAAAAAGTTTGAGAACAGCTACCTTAGGGCCATTACTATTTCTTGTAATTATACCATGCTATAGTAGAGTGAATCCTCCTACAGAAAGATGAAATGTATAAGGCAATTCTTCGCAACGCAAAGTTGTTCCAGACTATTTTCTAAGTTATTCAGTCTTCTTTTCATTTTTCTATTTCCTCACTGTAATACCATAGATAATAACTTCACAATATTGCTAATGTGCCTTTCTCACCCCTTCTAGGACACCAAAAAGCCAAGAAACAACTATGTACACAAGTAAATGGGCTCTGAATAACGATGTTCCCATGAATCAAGTCTCCAGACTTTTGTTATACCTGTTTTGATTACTTAGATGTCATTTTTTATTCTTTCTAGTTTTTCTACTACATTTTATATACCTAAAGTTATAGATAACCAGATAAGTAGAATATTAATAACTGGAGTTTTAGATGTCCTTCTTTTCTATTGTCTTACGTATAGCACTTACAAAGTCTGGCAAGGCCTTCATCCAATGGTGTCTGGAACAATATTTGAAGGAACAAGAATAAAGTGAGTGATAGAGTTCCACTGTGCTTATTTCATGAAAGCAAAGGAAGACAATTTCAAAATTTTGGGGACACTGTGACAGAGAAGACATCTAATTTGAAAAGTAGGACAGCAAAGAAAGGTATAGAGAAGGAAGGTACAGAGAAGTCTGCATATTTTAAGACAAAAGTATAATAAAATAAGAAGGTAGAAGGGGTTGTAGAGAGTCTTAATACATAAGAATAAGTAATAACCTGGTATTATCTTAACAATTAATGCTGAGGACATTAACAAGGAAAAAGAGAACTGAGAAAACAAAGTATAAACAAACACAAAACAATATATTAATGAATATCAAGTTAAATACTGGCATGTACACTGAATTGGAATGCAAAGGAAATATTCAGTATTAAATAGGCTGATCAAATACATTTTTTCTACTGCATGTTTTGAGCAGTTTTTTGAGTTGATAAACATGAACTAATAAAGTCTGCAGAAAAAAGGGTGAGAATAAAATATAATCAAGAAATAGATGAACATAGAGAAAACAGGGTAAGTAAATGAAGCTAACTATAAAAATAGGAAGCTAACGGAATTAGAAGAGAAAGCCAAACAATAGCTAGATTTCTTTTTTACAACTAGGAAACCTAAGACAGAGGAGAAAGCTAAAAGGTAAATCTGGAAAATCGGAGTAGTATAGTTCAAGAGTTAGCAATGATAGCTACCCAGAAAGAAAAAAATGATAATATAATGTAGGGAAAAACAAAGAAAAGTGCAAGGCAGAAATGCTAAACCTATTACCTTAGAAAATTCAAAAGTAGATAGTAAAGAGTATAATTCATGTAGACATATTCTATGGCAACAGCAAAATAAATAAATAATGTGCATTCAAAAACTGACTAATCAACCTATTGTGAACAGATAAACCAAGTACAGTATATGCTGTCAGAAAAGAAAAAGAGGGACATCTTTAGGGGTTTATAATACAAGTGTTCCCAGAGAAAAAAACATGTATTATAACAGATTAGAGAAAAGAATGAGCAAGTCAGAGTCAAAATGAAAATGCAAGCAACGAAGTAGAGTGTTTAAGGAGAATCCGAATAAGTAGCAATTACAAAAAAGAAAATTACTTTGCTATCCAGTATCACTAAAATTCCTGCATAATCCCAAATACTTAAGTGCTACCATAATCTATTTCTAAAACAAAAGCAGCTTAAAGTCTAAATCATATTGTCTATAAGCAATTACTTCAAATAAATGCCTAAATATGCACAAATTTTTAAGTGTGTTTCTTAGGAGTTATTATTTACTACCAATAACTCAGTATTAATAATGTCTAAAATAACTGAATTTTAGAGATTTATCAATGATATATGAAAAATGTTATCACTTCATTAAGAAACAGCATACAATAAAAATTTGATTTCCCTATTTGTACCTCTCTGAGGTTTTTATACATGAAGTTTGCAATAACTTGACCTCAAATGACAAGGACACTTCATAACTTAATCCAACTTGAATTAGTTTAAGCTCTAAAAACTGATTACCTTCAATAAACAGAGCATTTTGTGCAATATTTTAGCAAACACTTTGGAAGTATTCTATATTTGCCAATTTAGTCTAAGAAAAACCTACACAATACTAAAAATATCCGAATTTTGAAGCCATTTTAAAATATCTTAATTCTTTTTTTAAACCTCTTTTCAAACCTTTGTCATGTTTTAAAGAAGCTTCAAAAATATTTATAATTCGACACAGTATAAAACTTAAAGTTTATTAAGTTAATTCAGAGCTAAACCAACAGAATTCTAAGTAAACCACAAAGTATGCCTTGTTGAGAAGAAAAAAAAGGAACCAATGACAATTACACAGGTGAACACCTCACTTTTAAAAATGTGTTGCCTGCATCTAAACATACTTCTCTGCCCCAGAAAAAGATCAAGAGCTATATCTAAAAACAGAAGTTTAAATCGTCATTTTCAAGTGCTATAATACTTTTTTTTTGGTATAAAATTTACTAACAAAGAGAAACATGTTTGCAAAATGATAATTCTCTGTAAAAGACTTGCTTTACTAAGGCTTTGTTGCTCAGAAGCCAAGTATAAACCATATAAGGAAACTGAAGTTCAATGCCATTTATTTTGTTCCGCTCTTTCAGATGCCCAAGAATAACCTCTTTTGCTGCCTGATGATACATTCCAAAATCATAAAGTAGATCAGTTATGCACTTTAAATCCCTTGATAAAGCTAGTTTGACTTAACAGGAATTATTTGATGGTTCACAAATCTTAACAACAATGGAAAAAAAATCTCCAGAGACCATGATCTGGGGAAAAAAAAAATCAAAACAATATATAGTAATAAATAGTTTAAATACTCCCTTTTTGAAGTGTACTCAATAATGTAGCAAAGAACAGACTGTGAAATAAGTTGATCCTGATCTTTATAAATCTACCTTTTCTCTTTAAACTAAAGAAAGTCAACTCTTTCCTCCGGTTTCCGGTAATTACTGCAAGTGGAAGGCAAACTAAACATCAATCTATATTTAAGATATATCTACCAACAGGACACCATATTTATTTAATATTAATTAAAGTACAGTATTATCTGTCACCTACCTCTAGCACAAAAATACTGGGGGAAAACTAAACTTAAAAAGACTAAAACACTGAAAAAACAGCTTGGGTTTGCTACTACCAAAATTAGTTTGATCTACGAAGCCCACCCATTGGTTCAGAAGTGTTCATAACTCTGACTGGTGGAATGTCTGCCATGCTTCACAAACTCCTACCCCCACAGAAGGGACCTATCACTTATTAAGCAGAACCAAAAACACTTAAGCCAATGCGAACATGTAAACACTGTACTATTCAAAAAGCACAGCTTTTTACCACATTCAATATGATTCCCGTGAAAGTCGTTTTAAACATTTTACTTCTCTTCTTATACAGTCTGTTCTGAACTGCACAGAAGTCCTAACAAATCAAACTACTACCGGTATTTGTTTTTAAATTACACTTCTCTCTTTATCCATAATCCTTACTTCCTTCTTTTTCTTCCCCATGGATTAGTGACAAGAAAAGTCTAGCAGATATTTGCTTTCAATTAATTAACCAAACAAGTATAAGGTTCTAAATGTCTGAAAAGAACACAACTAAAGAAATATATTACCCACCCTGAAAAACAACCAAGAATGGCGAAGTTTTTGTTTTTTAAAATCCAACGAAATATAAGGGTTGGAACTAAAAAATCTCTATATAATACGATTAACGCAAAAGCCAAAATAATCGGTATCCCTATAAACAAATGTGGCAGCCATCTCAATAATAGCAAAATAAACACTCGCTGCAGCGACCTTTCTTCCAAAATAAAAGCTGCCAGATTCAGCAACTAAATATACAATGTATATGTCCAGAAAGCTAAAACTTCAGGACCTTGTGCCGAACAAAGGCACTCTTTCTTTGGATTGCTGAAAACTTTTTGTCCCACAGCATTCTAACAACCTCTTCCCAAAAAACCAGAGTCCAGATGGTAGAAGGGGGAGAAAAAACAGGTCTATTCAGCACCCAAAATACTATCCACTTAGATACGAGAAAAGGAGAATTTAGGGCAACTTGGGGAAAAGCGAAAGACACTAACGTATCAGCCTTTTCCGGCCCACGAACTTCATAACTTCTAGACTCTTTTCGTGAAAATTACCTTTCGGTCGGACAGCGTCTCAGGGCAGCTTTTTCAAGGCTTCGCTTGACATGATTTCCTTCCCTTCATTAGTCACTGAGGATCTTGCCGAATTTCTCTCTCCAGTGAGAGCGGATGTGGGGTGGCCTCCCGCAGTAGAAAAGTGGGTTGCTTTGGTAGGGGGCTGGGATGCGGGCTGGCTTCCTGGTCTCGAGTTTTGCAGGAGTTTCCCAGTCCCGACTAGGATCTCCGCAGGAAAAAAAAAAACAAAAACTTTTCACTCGTGACACCGCCCGCAATTGCCGTGCGAAACTCACTTCCTGCCTTGGCGAGGAGCAGGATCCAGCTCCGTCCAGGGGAACCCGGAAAACCAGCTCCGCGCGCGCCGGCGAGGGGGAAGGGAGGGGGCGTCCGCCGAGAGCCTCGGGCTCCGGGCGACCGGCGCGCCCCGCACACCCGACGGCCGTGGAACCCCGCCGGCCGTGGGAAGACGCCGCCGGGGCGCTCGGCGAGTCTCAGCTGCGCTAGGCCGCCACCTCCTCCTCCTCTCCGCCGCCCCCAGAGCCGGGCGGCGGGGTTATTGTCTCGATAGCGCCTGCCGCGCCCTTCGCCCGCGTCGCCGCCGCCGCCGCTCGGAGCCGGAGGCGAGGGGCCGGGCAGGCTCGATGGCGGCCCCCTCTCCGGGCCGTCCGTCTGGCCGTCCGTCCTTCCGTGCGTCCCTCCCTACTCGCCCTCGAACCCTCCTCTCCCTCTCCCGTTTTCCCGCCGCCGTCCCTCCGCTCCCCTCCTCGTTCTTCCCCAGCGGCGGCGGCTCCCCCGAGAAGCGCAGGGGGTGGGGGCAGGCGGCAGCTCGGTCTCCTCAGGAGCTCACGGGGCCGCGGCAGGGGCCGAGGCTGCGTCCCGCGCCGCCGCGCCACATTCACTCGAGCGAGAGACTGCGAGGGGAGGGGAAGGAAGGAGGGAGGGAGGGAGAGGAGAGAAAGGAGGAGGAACGGGGCTGGGGCGGAGGGGAGCTACTGCCTCACAGGCCGCGGCGGCCACAGCGCCACCGCCCCGCCGGCGAGGGGGGAAGAGGCTGCGCGCGGCGGCTCCGCTGCGAGGGCGGGGCGGCCTCCCGCCGGCTTCGCCCCAACCGCCAACAGCCGCGCTGGAGGCCGGCGCGAGCCAGTCAGCGCGCGGGGGCGGCGCGGGCCGACGTCGGCGGCGGCGGCTGGGGGTGGCGGGGGGCGACGGGCCAAGGGCCGTGGGGGAGGGGCCGGCGGCGGCCGTGGGTTCGCGTGCGAGGCGCTGCGTGAGGCCCGCTCTGGCCCAGGCCCCCCAGGCCTGCTTGTCGGTCCCCGGCCTGCTCCCCGACCCCGCACACACCCGCTCCGGAGCGCCCAAGGTGGGGAACGCTGACGACGCAGACCCCGCCAGCTCCTCGCGGCCCGCGCCCAGCCCGGGAGGTGGAGAGCCCTCAGGCCTCCGCTGCCCCGGCCGATTGTGTTTCTTTGTACGACAGTAATCGCTGCAAAGGAGTTGTTCAAGTCTAGCTCCGATTTTAAGGCAGCAGGTATCTCTTTCAGCTGCGGCACTCCAACTTCCTCTAATGGCACGCTCAGGTTGCAGGAAACCGCAGCGGCGGCTCGGCAGAGCTTCCCACGCCGGCCTTCGAGCTTGCTCGCACAGCAGTGCAGCTGAGACTCGGAGCCTCAGCTCCACACCGGCGGGGAGACAAAGCTGGCGCTGAGAGGGGAGAAATGGCCCGCGAAATTGTCTCAAGGTAGTGCCTTTGTTAGAGGAAACATTGGATACACTCCCGAGTGCGACGCAGGCTTCCAACCCCAGCGGTTTCAGTGGTGCAGTCGTTGAATTGCGCTGGCCCTAATAATTCAGCCTGGCAGAGTTTGCGTTTATTGCGGAGAGAGACTCTTAAGCATTCTGTCAACACATATGGCATAGAAAGCCTCAACCATAACATTGCACAGTTTTTAGCAGTTACTGCTTTAAATATGTTAACAGACAAGACGGCCTTGTTTTACCCAGAGAAGGAACACAGAAAAACATCCTCCACCCTCATTCTGTGTTGTACTTAACCGTGTATAGTGATGGTAATTAGCCTCTGGGTCCCCGACGTCACTGGTTCAGTTCTTCCATCTATATTCCACAGATAACTATTAATATTTATTACCAGGTTTGCATAAAGAGCTATGTGCCCTACAGATAATTTTAGGCTTGCGACCAAAGGAAAGAGTTCATAAAGTCCACCAAAGATTTACCAAAGTGAGTTGTACACTAATGACAAACACTTGAAATAACTCCAAAGATATTCAAGTCATTTTGTTAGGATTCGGAACATTTTAACTTCTTTTAGAACTGCTGGAATTAGTGCAGGTACTAGTTCCTTAGCATAGAGCAGAAGTTGAAGATTTACAGGTAGTACCGAAGTGCTCAGGCTTATTCAGTACTGAATTAGAGGTAAGAGCATTAACTGGAAGCTAGGAAACGGCAGGAAGGTATACTAGTAAAAGCTGGATATCTATTTTATGTGAATATGAATCTTAACCATTGCATGAATAGCTACAGTTAGCATATTGTACAAGCTGTTTATAATCGTCCCAAGAAAAATTTCTTCTTCCCCTTTCAAAAACTAGTTTGAATCTGGTCAGAACTCAGTGGCATAGCTCTGAACTGAAAGAGCCACTCTCCTCAATCATCCCAGGACGGAATACCTCCCATACCAGTGAGAAACCATCTGAATTCTGTGATCCCAGTGTTGCATCTCATCTCAGTTTGATTCAAGACCCCTTTAAATGTGGTACCATAGATTCCAGTAAACCCAACCCTCTCCTCCAAACCTAGATAAGTAGGACCAGACCACTTGTGTAGGCTAAGACTTGTCCTGGTCCTACCCTTTATTTATTTAAACTCATACTCAGGACCAACCATTCAAGCTAGAAAAGTCCCTATGACCAAAAACCCCATCTCCAACTAAACTGAAATTCTGCCGTTAGACTTTTATCCCTTTAAGTAGTTTATTTCTCTAGCACAAAACCATAATCCTGGGAAAGGTAATATTTTAAGCCTTATTACTCATTTATACCTAATTCATCAGATTGTTTCCCTAAAGCAGCTTTTGATGGAGGGAAAAATAGAGATAACATATGCTGAGGCTGAGTAGATAGGCAAGGGAAATATGGTCTCATTCCTTAGAGCAATGTGTGGAGAGTAGAGGAGTATAGGCAATAAAATGACCCCCATTTGATTAAATAAGTCCTGCTTACTCACACTGTGAGAATGAGCTTCCCAAAACACTGGCCTTAAGAGGATGGAAGCCAGGATACACTTGTCAATGTAGTTGACCCTTGAACAACATGGGGGATAGGGGTGCTGACTCCCTGGGTGTTTAACTTTTGACTCCCCAAAAACTAAACTACTAATAAGACTACTGTTGACTAGAAGCCTTACCAAAAACATAAACAGTCGATTAACACATATTTTGTATGTTATAGGTATTATACACTGTCTTCTTACAAAAAAGTAAGCTAGAGAAAAGAAAATGTTATTAAGAAAATCACAAGGGGCCGGGCGCGGTGGCTCACGCCTATAATCCTAGCTCTCTGGGAGGCCGAGACGGGCGGATTGTTTGAGCTCGGGAGTTCGAAACCAGCCTGAGCAAGAGCGAGACCCCGTCTCTACTAAAAATAGAAAGAAATTAATTGGACAACTAAAAATATATAGAAAAAATTAGCCGGGCATGGTGGCACATGCCTGTAGTCCCAGCTACTTGGGAGGCTGAGGCAGGAGGATCGCTTGAGCCCAGGAGTTTGAGGTTGCTGTGAGCGAGGATGACGCCACGGCACTCTAGTCTGGGCAACACAGTGAGACTCTGTCTCAAAAAAAAAAAAAAAATCACAAGGAAGAGAAAATGCATTTACAGTACTATAATGTATTTATCAATACCATAAGTTTAGTTTGTTTACAAGATGAATCAGCTATCTGAAATGGCAGGCAACTGTAGCTGCAGACTTCAATCTACGGTACATGTCAAGCAATTCAATTTTTCTATATAATGTCTTGACTTCTCTGCTTCTTGGGAGTACTTCCAGCATCACTAGTGGCACTTCAAGTGGGTCCCATGGTGTTATTCAAAGTTTATGGTATTGAACTAAACACAGTGAAAACTATGCAAGAACTGTGAGAGATCACTTTTCGCCACAATATGAAATTTACTGGAGAGATGAACTGCTCATGTGGAGATGATTGGCATCACACAGCATTTTAAGTGGATACTCGCAACACTTGAACTCCCTGAAGAGCAACAGGAGGTAGCTGTAAAATCTTATAGTAGTACAGTATATACTACAGTTAATGTTACGTAGTTATGATTTAATATTGCATCTTTATGTTTGCTTACATTTCTCTACACTGCTAACGGTACCATATAAGTTCTGTATTTGTCTGCAAGTTTTTTTAAAATTGTTGCAAATTTCCAAAAAATTTTCCAATGTATTTATTGAAAACAATCCACATATATGAGTGGACTCACACAGTCAAACCCGAGTCATTCAAGGGTCAACTGGAGTTATCTATTTTGCAAATATATCTTTAATAATCCCTTTATAAAGTACCTTCCCAGGAATTCTGCATCTGTGCTCATACAGAAGGGCAAAATGACAGCTATATGATCAGGGTATTCAGTAATCGGAAATAATGATTCACCTTTGTTATTCATCACTGACTATTTAGTACTAACTCATATGAGCAGCATACACAGATATAGCCAAATCTTCCATTTGTTCTACAAGGCATTCCCATTCCATGCTTACAGATTAGTTTTCTTAGAAAATCCTCCGACTGGACCTTGAACTAAAATGGACTTAACTTTTCAATTATGATTAAAAGGAGAACTAAAACCCTACCTTAAACAAGGCTGCCCAGCTGTGATTCTGTAATGATTAACTGAATTCCAAGACCACCTTAGAGAGTAAGCTAATAAATGTTTATTGACAGTATATCTTCATCTTCCCCATATAACTTCATCTTCCCTGTTGTGATACTCTAAATGATTCTCTGTGAAAGGCAGGAAATCTTTGCTTTGAGATTCCCCTTCCCAATGGCTGGGCACAGGAAAGGAATTACTGTCTGCTAGAGATAAGCCACTTCATCTGAAGGAAAGCATTAAGGCCTTAAGCATTCCAGGGAATGTACACAACATCCATCAGAAAAAAAGTGCTCTGAGTGCCTAACCACTGTTTTAAAAAGGGTCCCCCTGTCATTTCCCCCATGCCAGCCAAGCAGCCTTGGGGAGACAAAGA